ATACACACGGCACGCACGCACGCACGCACTTATTATGAGCTGGTCCTGTGCTGATTGCTGCAGTGTAGAGTCAAATGAGATTGGGACCCTGTCTGTCTATACCAAGGAGCTAACAGCCTAGCAGGGGCGGCCCCTACATAGACCACCTGTTTAGTGCAGGAATAAATAAGCATGTGAAGCATATGCCTGATCCAGAGGAGGAAGTGATAAACTATTCAGAAAAGCTCCACAGAGATGCCCATGCCCTTGCCAGGGGTGGAAGATCTTATCTTCTAATTTTACCCTAAGTATAAAATAAAGGTGGAAATGCTAACACTTCTCACACATGTAGGTATCTCAGAAGGAGGCTCAGAACGGCGAGATCCGGGTTAGCTCTTTAAGAAGTAAAATCCACAAGACTTGGTGACTGCTGGTGGAGGGCTAGGGAAAGGGAGGAGTTAGGGTTGACTCCCAGGCTTTTGGCTGAAACCTCTGGGTGGAGGGGGTTAGAAGCTGGATCACACCCTGGCCTGTTGACTCACAACCCAGGGCATGGGATGCGAAGCTTCTTCTAGTAGCCTTTGGTCTGTTAAAGAGATAACTTGGCCTGTGTAAAATGAGCAGCTCAGGCCTAAGAAAGAAGTGATGGTTAGTGTGTTCCTCCTTTCCGAAGAGAGCTGGACAGTTTATCTGCTGAGAGATGAAATTACCTCCTAATTAAGGAGAAGTGAAGGCTGTGCTTCTGGCAGCAGTAAGAGAACCCCCCGCCCAACGTCTGTTTACTCATGGGAGCAAAGCAGCAAAGCTTTGAGAGCAAGGAACTTTAGAAAGGCACAGTCCTGATGCTTAGTGTGGGAGTTTGAGAGAGCTCTTGCTGGAGAACTAAGAACTGCTGGCTGCAGAGGGAGAAGCCTGCTTTTGGCGGGGAGGGGGCAGACCGCATGTGTGCCCGGTGGTGGGGTCTGGCTGAAATCCAGGAAAGTTTGAACACCAGAGTAAGATTCCGTGATTTGTTAAAAAAAAAAAAAAGGCATTTTAATTAGTCTGTTTATCATCAAACTTACACTGGGTTATTTGTGATCAAAGTTACGAAATGATGAGAAAATACAAAATTGGACCTTGCTGTTTAATTCTGTAGAAAGCTACTATTATATACTATTGATTCAGATTGTTCAAGCATCACTTTTTTTTTTAATTTTAAAAGATATTTTTGCTAATAGAGAGGAGGTTGTAGAAAACTTGGTTTGAGGAGTTAGGATTAAACACTTGCAGGAAACCCAGTAAGATGTGCGTAAGGCACATCCTGTTGCTTTGGAGAGGCTCTTGTTCTGCCACCTATAGAGCCTCAACAGGTCTGTGGTAGAATTCAGAGGGTCAGTGAACTTGGATGGGAACAAAATTACATCTTTATTTTAACCAAATTCTAATCAACTTATTTTTTATTGTAAGTTAAGTATTTATTTTAAAGATTTATTTATTTTAGAGAGTGCGTGTGCAAAGCTGGGGGAGAGGCAGAAGGAGAGGGAGAGAGAGAATCTCAAGCAGACTGTGCTGAGCATGGAGCCCGAGCCTGAGATCATGACCAAGAGTTGGGCACTTAACTAACTGAGCCACCTAGGTGCCCTATAAGTTAAGTATTTAAAACACAGTAGTATTCACAGTTTGTGTCACCATTAGAATCATCTCTCTTTTCATATTATATTATAATTGTGGCACATATCTGAAGATATCATTTATGTTTACCACTACTTTGTATTTATGGTAGTTATTAGATCTACCACTATGTGAGAAGAGTGAGTGCCTTAATAAACAAGTACATACATTACTAAATCACATACAATTTTTTTTTTAATTTGGATAATCATACTTCAGTCAAATCATTTTTTTTTTTTAGTCCTATGCATTGTGTTTCATGCATTTAAAAAACCTTATTCTTAGCCAATGTCATCAGCTTCACAGCTGCCCAAAGAGGTCCATGGCACACAAAAGGTTAATAACCCCTGGCTAAGATCATGTAGTTGTGGCATGTGACCTCCACCTGGTGGCAGCATACTCCTTAAAGGTTAAATCTATAATCAGCATTGTGAAGAAACTTTTAGAATAACAGTATACTTGAGTATGGTTTTCAAACAGTTTTGATCACAAGTCCACAGTAAGAGGCTTTACATCATAAGTCATTATACTCATAAGTTTCACAAAACAAGACTTGACCTTACCATGTGACATACTGGTATTTTTTATTCTATTCAAATATTCCCTTTGATTCTCTTTCTTTAAAATAAAATATTGGTTGTAACACAGTACACCGCAGTTCAGTGGGTTACACTCTACTATTTGACATCGTAGGAGACCCTCTTTCACCATATTTCATGATTTTTTACCCGATGAACTTCACTTTGGTCTTCCCCGAAATACCCATACATTTTCAGGGACATAATACATTTTATATAACTGTCAGTAAATATAAATGTGCTTTTACACAGCTTTTAAAAAATTATTTATTAGTGATGTGTAATTTATATATGCTGAAATGAACTGATCTTTAGCATATAACCCACCAAGATACAGAACATTCCCATTGCCACACCAAGTTCTTCTGTGCCTATTCTCATTCAGTTGCTCCCTAGATAATCACTATCTGATTGCCTTTTTTTTTTTTTAAGATGTTTTTGTTATTTATTTGACAGAGACAGAGAGAGCACAAGCATGGGGAGTGGCAGGCAGAGGGAGAGGGAGGGAGAGAGCCTGAATCGGGGCTTGATCCCAGGACCCTGGGATCATGACCTGAGCCAAAGGTGGATGCTTAACCGACTGAGCCACCCAGGTGGCCCACTATCTGATTGCTTTGAGCACAGATTAGTTTTGCTGCTCTAGAACTTTATATTAGTGGAATCATACAATAGGTATTCTTTTAGCTTGGCTTCTTTTGCTCAACATAAGGTGGAGATCAGTCCATGTTGAGTGTATCAGTAGTTTTGTGAGGAGCATTCCATTGAATGAATGTACCACACTTTGTTTATTCTCCTGTTGATGACTTGGGTTGTTTTCTGTCTTAGCTATTATAAATAAAACTTCGACTAACATTTGAGTACAAGTCTTTCTGTTCACATGTTTTTATCTTTCTTGGTAAATACCTAAAGTGGAATTGTTGGCTTAGTCAGTAAATGAAATGTATGTTTAACTGTAGGAAACTGACCAACTGTTTGCCAACGTTGTCGAACCATCTTACATTTCCACTAGCAATGTATGAAAGTTTGGATTGCTCCACATCCTTACCAACATATGGTGTGTCAGTCTTTTTAATTTTAGTCATTCTGGTAGGTACAGGGTTGTATCTCTTAGTGGTTTTAATTTGCATTTGTCCGATGACTGATGTTGAATACTTTTCCATGTGTTATTAGCTGTTTGTTTATCTTGTGAAGTATCTATTCAAGCTTGAGTTGTTTGTTTTCTTAATATCGACTTGTAGTTCTTTATTTTGAATGCCACTTCTTTATGTCAGATACATGCATTTATGAATATTTTCTCTCAGCCTGTGACATACATATTCATTTTATTAATGAGCAAAGGTTTTCAATTTTGACAGAGTTCAATTTAATAATATTTTTCCTCTGTATTTTGTGCTTTGTGGGTCCTAAGAAATTTTTTTCTATTCTGTTTGGCAAGACAGTTTTGGTTTTTATGTGGAGGTCTATCATCCACCTCAAATTAATTTTTGTGTATGGTATGATGTCAGTGTCATGTTTTATTTTCTTCCCATATTTATGTTTGGTGTTTGCAGGTCATTAGTTGAAAATACGTTCCTTTCACCATTGAATTATAGCACAGGATTTAAAAAGGGGAAAAAAAAAAAAAACTATTTAGCCAAAGAAGTGCAGAAGTGACATTTTCCTACAGGCCATCACTGACCCTTTGGGCCTCGGAGACCGTCCCCAACCTGCAGTTTTGGTCTTCTATTCCTTTCTGAGTTAGCTCATCCACAGTTAGAGATTTTCAGAAATCACTCATAAGGTGTGAGTAGTTATAAGGCTACATTTTACAGGGTCTGTAGCTGTGCCACAGAGCGGCTAGCCACATATGGCTGTTTAAATTAAAGTTAAATACAGTTTAAAATTCAGCTTCTCAATCATAGTAGCCACATTTCATGTGCTCAGTAGCCACACGTGGTATTGGCTACCCTGTTGTACAGTGACAGGAAGCAGGGTTTGGACAGTTTTATAGCATATTTTAATAAAACTAATTTAGGTTTTTTTTGTTTTTTTGTTTTTTTTAATGATCCTTTTTTTTTTTTTTTTAAGATTTTATTTATTTATTTGACAGAGACAGAGACAGCGAGAGCAGGAACACAAGCAGGGGGAGTGGGAGAGGGAGAAGCAGGCCTCCCGCCGAGCAGGGAGCCCGATGTGGGACTTGATCCCAGGACCCTGGGATCATGACCTGAGCCGAAGGCAGTCGCTTAACCAACTGAGCCACCCAGGCGCCCAAAACTAATTTAGTTTTGATAACTGTCATTCAGCATCTACCTTCCTGTCCTTGGTTCTTTTTTGTTTGTCCTCATTTCCATTTCTGTTCTAAGATGTGCTATTCCAGCCATTCCTTTTGTTTGTCTAAAAATGCAATAGCTTGTATCTGTTTTTTCCTACTTAGAAGAAAGACTTGCCCTGACTATCCACGGAACCCTTCTTTTCTGGAGCCTACCCAGGACTGGCCTATTTGACTTCTTTCTATGTCTGATAGTCGTACAGCTGCCACTGGATGTCTTGAGCAATCCCCTTTCGAGGTGTGGCCCAGAGAGATATTTTGTCTTTACTGTCATGACTAAAATATTAGCATTTCTACCCTAAATAAAAACTTGCAAAAACTAGTAGGTTTATGATGTGTATCCCTGACCCATATGAAGGTTTCTGTCCACTAGGGAACTTTGTTGCCATTTCATCATGAGCAACCACATAGGAATTTGTGAGATTTTTCTCTGATTGTTTGCTGGGTGTGAGCTAACTCTGCCATTAATGTCTTTTTAGTGTGGGAATTTTGCTGTCCTGGTGGATCTTCACATACTGCCACAAGGTTCAAACAAAGATACCAGCTGGTTTTCTGAACAGAAGAAAGAGGTACCACAAAACTTTTCACTGTTTAAATGCAAGTTGCTGCTGCTAGAAGAAATATTAACTCTTTCCAGCTTTCATTTTTGTTAGTGGCAAAAAATATTGAATTATATTTAACCCTTGAGAAACAGTTGTTATATTCCAATGACAGACATACACTTGCTTCTTTTTCCCCAAGAAAGTGATACATCTATATATTTCATAAGCTAAATTATTTAAACCAGGAATTTTCAACCTCTCTCTTTTGGGGGAAAGGGCTCATTATAGTTAAAACAGAAGACGATGGTCAAGTGAGGGTTCTAGGCAAGCAGGGATTTTAATCTGTTTGTAAAGGACAGACCAAGACCCTGAAGTAGGTGTGGGGTGAACACAATTCTGATCTTTCACACCTTGAAATCAAATTCTTATTTAATTCTTAAATTATCATCATCCACCTTTTTGTCTTCTACCATACTTTTTTTTTTTTTTAAGATTTTATTTATTTATTTGACAGAGAGAGACACAGCGAGAGAGGGAACACAAACAGGGGGAGTGGGAGAGGGAAAAACAGGCTTCCCGCGGAGCAGGGAGCCTGATGTGGGGCTCGATCCCAGGACCCTGGGACCATGACCTGAGCCAGAGGCAGACACTTAATGACTGAGCCACCCAGGCCCCCCTTGTACCATACTTTTCTTAACACGAGTCTTTGAACCCATCATCTGTGGAGATGTTTGACTATATTCCTTCTCACTGAGGCCAGTCAGGGAGGAGGATGGCTGGATGGTCATGTGGCTGGGAGCCTGGTGTTTGATCTCCCTGGGCCTCAGTCTCCTTATCTGCAAATGAAAGAGTTCAACCAGAGGCCTCTGAGTCACTGCTAGCTCTCAGCTTCCCCGAGATCCCACCCCAGTCTGCTGTGGCAGAAGGTTCTAGAGTGCATCTGGCTCTCCTCACGTGCTCTGCTTCCTTCTCCATGTCCTTGTACTAGAGAGCAGGGAGAGTGATAGTGAGGCGGTGGCTTTCACATAACTTTCAGAATATTATAGCACTTTGTGTCCTCCGTGATACTCATCACAATAGCTTTTTAGAGCTAGAAATAAAAATAAGTTTTATTGAAAGGTAGTATATGGAGAAGAATCTAGTGATAGTGGCAACAAAACAAAGCAAAAAAAAAAAAACCTTTACTGTGCTAATTGTTTTTAGTCAACTTTTGAAGACTACTAGAAAACAAAAACTCCCTCCAAGAAAATTTATAAGTAATACATTTTCAGTCACAAGGTACTAATACAATCAGGACTTGGCTGGGCAATATTGTACTTGATATCTAGTGGCCCACGGCTGGGAGAAGGCAGGCACAAGATTCGGAATAATGAGATTTATCGTTCAGGTTAATAAATGGATTGTCCTCTTCAGGACTTAATATTCAGTAAGCCAGCATCTCCTACTATAACTCAACTCCATGGAATTCCAAATTTGGCTTACCCACACTCTGTTTCCCCAAAGTGACTAATGCTCACCTGAGGGGACCTCACCCCAAAAGTCTTCTGACTTGACTGACATTAACAGCATTCTAGAATCCACTGTTTCGGGCCCATCTTTTCCTCCATTCTCTCCCAGCTTACCACCTCAGCCTTTGCCTTTTCTTGTTGATATGTAGTAAGTTTTGCCAAGAGTCAGTTACTTTGGAAGGCTTTAAAATAAAGCTATGAATGTGTGAATCACCTCCTAGGCAAAGCATGAGGCTAGATTTTTCCAGGGTGCCACACACAGCTGTTGCTGCCCCACCTAGTACTACGTCCGGGCAGCGAGGCATGACTTAGCAAAGGTGCTCAGTGCACGATTGGACCTGCAGAGCTTGGCTCCAGCATTGGCTGCAAGAAGGCAGGTTATGCCAGCAAGCCAAGCTTCTCTCTCAAAGCAAAGTGGATGGTTTGCTGCTTATACTTGAAGTTGTTCCTTTAAAGTTTGTTCACTGACATTAAAATTGCTGAGAGAGAGAGAGAGACGGAGAAAGGAGAAAAGCTAGTCAAGGAAAGGATATGACTCTAGCCTGTATTCAGTGTCTCAGTGCTTTCATCTTTTTTATTAGATCATTTCATGATTGGGATTTCATGAGCAATCAATTTGATTGCATTTTAGCAGATGCTTTAATATAGTGAAAGTCTTAAGAATGTCCAGTTCCTTTTCAGAAAAAGGAACTAATTGCATGTATTAAACCCAAGTTTATTTTGAGTCCAGCACAAATAGTCTTTGTACCCAAGCAGGCAAACTCAAACTGTTTCATTTGTGAACTTGAGGAAGCAAGTGTGACCCCCTGTTAGTGTAGAAATACTGTATATATCTCTGTCCTCTTGGTCTTCGATTTCATCTTGGTCTTCTTATGTGCCCTTCTGGTGTAGCTGGGAATTTGTCTTTTCTTGCATTGCTCTGGTTCTGAAGAGAATGCTTCGCTAAGTGTGGTGTGGTCAGTTACTAGGGTATCTTGACCACACTGCACATGGTCTACCTTCCATTCGTCAAACCTGACTCATGGAAGGAAAGCCCCGTAACTATAGGGAGAAAGTTTGTGTTGTATGGGCCTTTGTTTTATTTTTGTCATACTATTTTTAGTTCTAGCCTTATAGGGCATTTATGGCCAAATTTTAACAATCTCTGTTTCCATGTATGTCTTTCACATATTTTCTAGCTCAGTCATAGTTGAACCCTGCATGTGAAGCAAAATTCTTTAATTGTTAAAACAACAGTATGAGGCAAGGCTGCCTTTCTGTTGTGTGAACAATGCCAAAACGCTCAACTGTAAACGGATATCTCTGTATTCCACAAGGCACTGCATCTTTGGGCTGCAAAATGAGAGCAGAGAGAGGAGACCAGTGTTTACATTTTATGTAGATCACGTTTGTGAATTAAATCAAGGATTTTCAGTACTGTTGAGGAGTGTACGTATTAGCAATAAAAAACAGGTTTGGCGATCATTGCCCTTCAGAGCTACTTAGAATTTTGTTCTTGTTTTAATTTATGAAGATTCTAAGAGATCAACCTGAGATGGCATTGAAGAAACCAGTGAAACAGGTTTGAGTTGACCTCGGCAACTCCAAGCCTTCTGCAGAGGCTGGGACTTGGACCAGTTTCTTAATCTAAATTAAGAAATTTAGATTTGTGTGCCATTTTTCCCTTTTCCTGCAATGGCTACATGTCTCTAGTGGACAGTTTCTTCCTGTTGTGTGGTGGACTTTGAGAGTTTTGTTTTTCTTTTCATAAGTAACACTGATAAATAAAACAATAGACAACTCCAGAAATGTGCTAGTGGTGTGGTATGTTGACATTGAATTAAAACCATGTGTTTCCGTTGCCTAATAAATATTAATCTACTTTAGAGAAACATGAGAAGTTAAATTATTTTCACCATTAATTGGTGGATATAGTGCAGTTTTCACAAAAGCAAATGGGCATGTACCGTATCATCAAGAAGAGCGTGGAAGAAAATCACATTACTGGTTTCTAGTTCTCTCTTCAGCCCATCACTCAATACTGTTCTTTCTTCAGTAGACTTCTAAACCTGAGTCCAGAAACTAGTGAATGGTGGTGTTTAGGTTAAAAAAGGGTTTTTATTTGTTTGTTTGTTTTGGGGGGTGCCTGGGTGGCTCAGTCCGTTAAGCAGCTGCCTTCTGCTCAGGTCATGATCCTGGGGTCCCGGGATTGAGCCTGGCATCAGGCTCCCTGCTTAGTAGAGAGCCTGCTCCTTCCCTTGCCCCTCACCCCACTCATGCTCTCTCTCTCTGTCAAATAAATAAATAAAATCTTTAAAAAAAAAAAAAAGGTTTTGAACCAAGTTTGAAAAATGGGAAATATTCGCATAAAAATGGGAAATATTCACATAAAAATCACTGTGGCTGGCTCCTCTTAAATCCGAAGAGCTGATGACCCTGTCCCTAGTATCCCTACATGACAACAGTCCACTGAAACCATTGCGGGGAGGGGACTGCCATCCCCAGTCTTGCCTGGCCACACGGGGCACTTCACTGTTTTTATCTTCCTTTTAGAAATGTGAAACTGAGGCAGTGGGAAATGAAATGAATTTCTCGGGTCACAGAGTAAGCCAACATCATGGTTTTGAACAAACCTCGGGAGCAAACTTAAATCTGGCATGTTACCCTCGAGCACAGATAGCATTTTTTTCAGCTTTCACAGCTAAGTAAAAAAGCAAACAAAATAAAATGTTCAGTGTTGACTTTTTAATATGCACGATGTTGACTCTTTTTGCATTGCATTACATGAGAAAATTGTATCTCATTTTTCAATTTACTTTAGGAAGTCTGTTTACTGTTAAAAGAAACCATTGATTCAAGAGTTAAGGAGTACTTGGAAGTTCGTAAACAGCACAGGCCATCAAATACAGAATTCACAAGATCCAGTCCCTTGACCTTAAAAGGTAGGCACTGAGTACTTTGATTTTGGATAAAATTTCTGCTTTGTAGAGATGGCAATTATGTTTGACTCTGACTGTCATGTTAGTACAGTGATACATTTAAAAACTATGTTCTAATGAGGATGCTTTGTTTGGGTAAAGAAAATTAACCAAAAAGCCCTGGAGGGCTTTTAATGGTAGGCAAAATATATAAAAATAGAAAATAAAACATTCCTAAGGAAACTGTAAATACTTTAAAGGAAATTTTTTTTTTTTTTTGACAAGTAGTCTTTCAAATAGATATACATTAATGCTGACTTGATTTGGGGCTTTATGCTTTTTTAAATGCTTTCATATATGTCACCCTATTTCAGAGGTTCTCAACTGGGGGTGATGGGTCCCAGGGGACATTGGGTTGTTACCGGGGGAGCGGGAGGGGTGGCAGGGAGCTACTGGAATCTAGGGAGTAGAAGCCAGGGATGCCACTAAGTATCGTACAATGAACAGAAAAGCCCCCCACAACAAGGCATTATCTGGCCCAAAACGTCAAGGGCACTGAGGTTGAACTACCCTGCCCTATTTCCTAACAACACTTTGAGAATGGTGATGTCTGAGTTGTAGGTGATGAAGCTGAGGATCTACAAGATTAAGGGCTCACCCAAATAAAAGATCATCCTTTTTTTTTTTTTTAAAGATTTTATTTATTTATTTATTTGACAGAGAGAGAGAGAGAGATAGCAAGAGCAGGAACACAGCAGGGGGAGTGGGAGAGGGAGAAGCAGGCTCCCCACCAAGAAGGGAGCCTGATGTGGGGCTCGATCCCAGTACCCTGGGATCATGACCTGAGCCGAAGGCAGACGCTTAACGACTGAGCCACCCAGGCGCCCCTAAAAGATCATCTTTTCGAGGACAGAGATGATCTTGTTTATTTGGCATCTTCACACGCCCCCCTCCTCCTTACTTAGCCCAGTGCCAGATACACGGATTCAGTGACTTGTTGAAAGAAAGCATACTTGGGTGACAAGTGGCAGAACTTGACCCCAGGCCCAGCTCTTCTGATTCCTAGCCCACTGTTCTTTCCACTCTGTCATTGTTGTGTTTTTAATTTTTTTTAACTTTAAATCAGCGTTTCATAACACTCTTTGTGGTACAAATAAGGTCAGCCTTGTGTTAATCCTCAGAGGGCAGCACTGGGCAGCCTTGAACTAGGTTATACTAGTGCAGCCCCACCTTGGAGAAGAATTGTGTTAAGTAACCCCCTCTGAAGGCATACTTAATCTACAGTGTTCACCTGGGCACAGCTGATACGTAGGCAGACAGATTGATTTAACCCAAACTGAAAGCCTTGAACAAATGGAATTTCCAGTCCAAACAATATTGTGTTAGATGACGCTTTCTGGTATTTCACTTAGTAGTAGGATAAAGCTTGAGAAAAGCCAGAGGAGCTTGTATTCTTTGTACCCCAGCAGACCTGGCTAGTCTCATTTTCTAACTGGTACAGAAGGAGAAGGAACAGAGAAGGTTCTCAGACCTCCATTTCTGGTGTGGAGGTGGCGTGGTCAGTACTGATTCTCAGCTAGCCCTTCCCTTGGCTTCCTCTACTGCTGAGTGAAAAATGCTGAGTACTCAACTACCCAGCTTCTCTCACAGTTAGGGAAGATGTGTTGTGTGTTGTTCTGGCCCCAAGATGAAAATCAAAGTCTTTCTTGGGCTCATGTGGGCAAGAAGTTTGTTTTTATTTGAATGAATGAATGAATGAACAAACGAATGAATTTATAACAAGTTTGTTTTTAAACAGAAAAGTGATCTTTCTGTACATACAAGATTTTTTTTAAGATTTTTATTTATTTATTTATTTGACAGAGCGAGAGAGACACAGCGAGAGAGGGAACACAAGCAGGGGGAGTGGGAGAGGGAGAAGCAGGCTCCCCGCTGAGCAGGGAGCCCAATGCTGGGCTCGATCCCAGGAGCCTGGGATCATGACCTGAGCCGAAGGCAGATGCTTAATGACTGAGCCACCCAGGCGCCCCTGTACATACAAATTTTTTTTAAAAAGATTATTTGAGAGCAAGAGTGCACACATGTGAGTGGGGGAGGGGTAGAGAGAGAGGAGAGAGAATCCCCAGTGGACTCTTGGCTAAGCTTGGAGTCCAGCTTGGGGCTTGATCCCACAACTCAAGACCTGAGCCGAAACTGAGAGTCTCATGCTTGACTGAGCCACCCAGGTGCCCCTATACATAGAATTTTACAACCTTTTTTTTTTTTCACCTAACATAATATAAATCCTTTAAAACATATATATCACCATTTTTTTAAATTGTTTTAATGTGGTAAACTATACATAAAATTGACCATTGTAACCATTTTCAAGTGTACAATTGAGTGGCATTAAGTACATTCACATTGTTGTGCAGTCATTATCACTTTCTATCTCCAGAATAGTCTCAAACTGGAACTCTTTACCCATTAAACAATACCTACCCATTACTCCCTTCCCTCGCCCCTGGTAACCACTATTCTGCTTTCTAATTTACTACTTGAGGTACCTCATATAATGGAATCATATAGTATATATCCTTTTGTTTCTGGCTTATTTCACTTAGCTTAATGTTCTCAAAGTTCATCCTTGTTACAGCATTTATCAGAATTTTCTCTTTTTTTTAATATTTTATTTATTTTTTTGAGAGAGAGCATGAGAGGGGCGAGGGTCAGAGGGAGAAGCAGACTCCCTGCTGAGCAGGGAGCCCGATGTGGGACTCGATCCCAGGACTCCAGGATCATGACCTGAGCCGAAGGCAGTCGCTTAACCAACTGAGCCACCCAGGCACCCCAGAATTTTCTTTCTTTTTAGAGCTGAATAATACTCACACACACACACACACACACACACATTTTGTTTATTTGTTCGTCTGTCATAGGATAGTTGGGTTGTTTCTACCATTTGGCTATTGTGAATAATGTTGCTATGAATATTTGTGTTCAGATATCTCTTTTGAGTTTCTGCTTTTCACTTCTCTGGGTATATACTTAGAAGTAGAATTGCTGGATCATATGGTAATTGCCAGTTTGTTTATTTTTATTTTATTGAATTAATTTATTTTTTTGAGGAACTGCCATCCTTTTTTCTGGTGACTACACCATTTTACATTCTCACCAAGAATGGATCCCAGTTTCTCCATAATCTTGCCAATACTTATTTATTGTTGTTTTGATAATAGCTGTCCTAATAGATGTGAAGTATCTTATTGTGGTTTCAGTTTGTGTTTTCCTCATTTGTAGTGATTTTGACCATCTTTTCATGTGCTTATTGGCCATTTGTATATCTTCTTTGGAGAAATGTCTGTTTATGTCCTTAGCCCATTTTTTGGGTTGTTTGCTTTTGTTTTTGAGCTGTAGGAGTTCTTTTATATATTCTGGACATTAGTTTCTTATCACGTATATGATCTGCAAATATTTTCTCCCGTCGTGTGTTGCCTTTTCACTCTCATCAGTGTCCTTTGATGTGGAAATGTTTTATTAAATTTTGATGTAGCCAGTTTATTATTTTGCTGCCTGTGCTTGATACTATATCCAGGAAATCTTTACTGAATCCAATGTCATGAAGCTTTTCCTGTTTTTTTTTCTAAGAGTTTTCTAGATTTAGCTCCTTTTAATTAGGTCTTTGATCCATCTTGAGTTAATTTTAAGGAAAGGGTCCAACTTCATTCTTTTGCATATGGATATTTAGTTGTCCCAGCACCATTTGTTGGAAAGTCTGTCCTTTCCCCCATTGAATGGTCTTGGCTCCCTTATTAAAAATCTTTGATCATAAATGTGAGGGTTTATTTCTGGACTCTGTTCTTTTTTTTTTTTTTTAAGATTTTATTTATTTATTTGACAGAGAGAGAGACAGCGAGAGAGGGAACACAAGCAAGGGGAGTGTGAGAGGGAGAAGCAGGCTTCACGCGGAGCAGGTAGCCTGATGTGGGGCTCGATCCCAGGACCCCGGAATCACGACCCGAGCCAAAGGCAGACGCTTAACGACTGAGCCACCCAGGTGCCCCCCTGGACTCTGTGTTCTAACCCATTCTTCCGTATGTCTGTCTTTATGCCAGTGCCACACTGTTTTGGTTACCATAGCTTTGTAATAAGTTTTGAAATTAGGAAATGTGAGTGTTCAACTTTCTTAATGTTTTTCAAAATTCTTTTGGCCCTTTGGGGTTCCCATCACCACTTTTAATAAGACTGTGTAGTATTCCATTAAATATTCATACTCTGATTTATTGGTGGGACATTTAGGTTGCATTTAATATGTTCACTCTTGTAAATAATGGTACAGTGCATATCCTGATGGTATACATGTTCGCACACAGCAACTCCTTTATAATGTTTTTAGTTTTAATGTTCATATTTTTATTAGTTTGTAAGAGGTCCTTAAGGATATGAATGCTTTGTATGTTTTATATGTTGTAAGTGATCTTTCTGAGTTCGTCATTTGCCTTTGACTTGGTTTATTTAACTGTAGAACCACAAACTAGGAGAAGCCTGTATTTGCTTCATGGAGCCTTCGGTGACCAGCCACTAGTGGGATGAATGCTAGGCTTCCCTGTAATGAGATAAGTAGTGTAGTCGATTGCCAGAGGGAGGCAGGATGATACTAATGCACCATCTTGGTGTTCACTCAGCTGTGCTAAGTATCCTTCCTTGAAAGTAATCTTGGTGTGAAAGCAGTCTCTTCCTTTTCCTTCCTACTTCTGGTAACAGTTAACCTTTAATTGACCATATCTTTTGATGTTCATACCTTAGCCAGTCCCCTCCTCTGCTGCCACCAACCAGTCCCTGCCCCCGCCTCCCCTGCCTGCCGGGGCACCCACAGCAGCCCCCTGACTGGCTTTCTTGCATCTGCTCTGGCTGATGCCTCTCCTGCTGTTTACACTTCAGTTAGTGTCATCCCTTAATAACACAGGTCTGATCTTGTGAACCTCTTCCCCAAGGCTCCCAGGTGCAAGCCAAGATCCTTGCAGTAGCTGCCTCTCCAGCCTCAT